GGCAGCCAGATGATGAAGAAGAAGAGTTTGGATTTGATATCCTGCTTTATCACTACCCGAAGGAGTCTCAAAGCGGCTAACATTCTCCTTTCCCTTCCTCTCCCACAAACAAACAATCTGTGAGGTGAGTGGGGCTGAGAGACTTCAGAGAAGTGTGACTAGCCCAAGGCCACCCAGCAGCTGAATGTGGAGGAGCGGAGACGCGAACTCGGTTCCCCAGATTACGAGACTACCGCTCTTAACCACTAACCCCACACTGGCTCTCTGATGAGGGTGTTAGGGAAAGGCCCGCCCATAAGTTCTATGGCACAGAGCAAATTCTTTGGCCAGGCTAAATCATGATGCTTACCTTGACAAGGGTACTCACTTGGCAAGCTTCATTCTACCCTCACAGATACAGGATCCCAAGGACTGGAAGGGACCCAGGGCACCATCCAGACTGGTCCCCCAACTCATAACAATATAACACATCACAAAGAAAATGCAGATAGGATCAAGATAAATATATATGAAGTAACTGATATGCCCGTAAAGGCATCCCTCCTCAACTGGGCAAAATCTGAATGACATAGAGTAAAGCTCTTGGCATTCCTGACCATCAGGCAAGCTGGCTGATAGGGGTTGTATTCCAAAGATTTGGAGGGCACCAGGTTGGAAAAGGCTGATGAAAGATAAAGAGCAAGCCTGCAGTCTACAGCAGGGTTTCCCAAAGTTGGGTCTCCAGCTGTTGTTGGACTACAATTCCCACCATCCATAACTAGGAGGACCAGTGGTCAGGGATGATGGGAATTGTAGTCCAAAGCCAGTTAGCAATCCAAGTTTGGGAAAGCCTTTTTTTAGAGCATATAATCTCTAAGTGAGAGGGCAGGCACAGCAGCCTGTGATGGTTGGCCTGAGTCATTGTGTGATGGTGGGCCAGAGCCATCAAAATGGTCTATCAAATGAATATGAAACATTAACACAGTGTCTTACATTTGCAAAGCATTCCCCCACTTTTATTACATTTGCCCTTCCAAGGCACCAGAGATAGAAAACTGCTATTCCTGTTTTACAGATGCATATGAAATTGTCTGTCTCTCCTGCTTCTAGGAAAAGATCTCAAATAAATTTCTTTTAATGGAGAGGGAGCATGGAGGAGAGAAGGGAAATACCTGCAGGGAACCTTTAAAAGAAAAAAATAACCATGAGAAATTTGAAGGGGGAGAACTGTAAAAAAAAGGAAAAAAAAGGAGGCTGGTCATTATGAAGGATAACAAAGAGCAGCACAAGCCCTGTAGGCTCAGTTGGGACTATGCAAATCCCTTTTCCAGGGCTGTGTCATCTTCCCAGGAAGCTGTTTTGAACATGAGTAACATAATGAATGGTTGGTTGTTGTGTGACTAAGGCTCAGTTAGACGTTTGCAGTGGTAGAGAAGTTCAGATGCTTGAAAGTAATTACCAGCTGGGTTCAGGGGAGTTTGTCAGCTATTTTGTGTGCTTTGCAAAAATGCCCCGATTCTCTGCCATAATAGAGGAATGGAATGGGAGTTTCTCTCCTACATCTCTGCCCCGGTGTCTTTATTTGGAGGTGTGTGTGTATGTGTGTGTGTGTGTGTGTGTGCGTATGTGTGTGTGCGTGTGTGTGTGTGTGTGTGTGCGCGTGCATGTGTGTGCATGCGTACATACACTTGCCTCTGCTGTCTCACTGCACAGCTGTCAAACTTCTTTCTGAAATGTCTGTCTTTAACAGTTGCTTCATGCCTTGATTCCTGTATATTTGAAGACACACCTGTTGCACAGGCAACCTTTTGCTCTCTTGGTCTCCTGTTTTAATGGCTGCGTTGTTTTAACAGGGTTGTTTCTTCTGTATTTCATTACGGGTGTTTGAATTGAATGTCGGCGTAACAAATTTTTATACTTTTATACAGCGATAAGAAGACTATTTTGGCATTAAGTTGTATACAAATTGTGTGTGTGTGTGTCTACATATAACCTATACACACACACACATATACAATCAACATTTTAGAGTATTCAATAGCTACAAAGAAAAAGAATAAACAAAAGGAACAAAGAAGAGAAGAGGAAAGGAAATCAATCTCGGGAAAAGCACACATGTTTGAGTTATAAGGAAATTAAAATGGGAAATTCATAAGGGGGCAATGAAAAGAGGAATAAATGCTTTGGGGGAATAAAGAAAAAAGAGAAGAGGAAGTTGGTTGAGAATCTGAAGACAGATCTGCATTGTTATGCTCTCATTCATAATGTCCTTGATGGCTTAAACTCAAAACAAGTCTTGATTGTTTAAATGCAAAAATACTTCTACATCAGGTTTGGTGAACCTGTGGCCCTCTAGATGCTGCTGAACTAGGAATCCCATCAGCCCCAGCAAGCATGGCCCATGGCCAGATAAGATGCAAACTGTAGTTCGGCAAGATCTGGAGGGGGAAAGGTTCTCTGCACCTGTTCTACAGGGTACCATTAAAATATCCAGAATGAGAGTTAAAGAGTGTGACTCGAGAAAACGGGACTTGTCCTCAAAAACGCCAGGCATTTTTTAATCCCAGGATGCCATTGTGCATGAAATGAGCCACGCAGCATCATAATGAACACTAGTTCCCATCAGCTATGTTGGCTGGAAGGAGATATGGGTGGGAACAAGCTTGTCCCACCCAATTCTCACCATATGCACTGGAGTGTTGAAACAGCACATACTCAGTTTGAGCTGCCTATGTCATTGGATAAGCCGTTGGGTCTCACAGAAATTCCTCAGTGAGCTTCAACATAATGCTGTCAAGGTCAAGGTGTCATTTTGTCACGAATTGTTTTCCCGAATGTTGACACTGGAGCCAAAAATAATTGTGCTGACTTTTAGAGTTTTGGCCATGGGAGTATTCCTTGTTTCTCTTTACCTCTTTATCTTTTAAGGCCACATCCCCTCATGCTTTGTACGTGGCATGATTAAATTATAGGCCTGCTTAATAGGCAAAGATAATTGCGTTACCATTGAGGTTGGGTGTATTTTATCGCTTCAGGTTTCTACACATCCGTGCATTGTGGACTCTCCAAGTGGAAGCTATTTTACCTTAATATTTGCTTGAATGAAAGGAAAGTCTACCCTGTGAGGCAGACTTTTCAAAATCACACACACAAACTTAATGCATTTCTTTTTTTTTTAACACACATTCTTATATAGCTCTTGACCAATATTGATAAATTGAATTTATTCACTTTTTAAATTTTTTTTAACAGAGCAATGAGGTGCTAGAATTTTTTTTATTTTAAGGGAGGTGTTTTTTAATACACTGGGAGCTTTGAAGATGTCCCACTACTCACCTGCAAGGTACAGCCCATTATCAGCAAGTTAATCCCATCAGACTTCTGCTCATCAGTTCGTGTGATCAGCTATATCCAATGAGGAAAGGGTGAGGAAAGAGGTTTGGAATGACTTGTGGCTCTTTTCCATGCTTCTTCTTTGGCCATAGATCAATCCAGCAGCTCCAATGGAGTGCAACTGTTCACGCAAGCTAAGAGAGCAATGGATCTCAAGCAGATTTTGTGAGTCTCTGGTCACATGCACACCAATACCTTTGCATTACACCACTTTAACAGTCTTGGCAACTGTCGTTTCTGAAGGGTGCTGGGAATTGTAGCGCTGTAAGGGGCACAAACTACAGTTCCCAGAACTCTTTGGAGGAAGCCATGACTGTTAAAGTGGAATAAATGTATGGCGTAGATGTGACTTCTAATGGGAGTCTTTCCACTACAACTCAGACTTGGGGTGGCTTTTGTCCTCTCAGAGGGGGACAGGGAGATTTCGCAAAGTTTATTTCTAGTCCATAGATGCCCATGCAGCGGCGTAGTGTGGGTTGTCAGCACCCGGGGCAAGGCAAGTAATTTGCGCCCCCTAACCCGGGGCAAGGCAAGTAATTTGCGCCCCCTAACCCGGGGCAAGGCAAGTAATTTGTGCCCCCTAACCCCTAACCTGCCGCCGCTGCCAGCTTCTTCTTGCTGCTGCCTGGGCTGGTCTGGTGTGGTTCTCTCCCGCGCTCAGCGCTGCGCTGGGCGGTTGCTGCACTGTCCCTCCCCCAGATAGTCCCTCACTCTCTCTCCGCACCGCACGCCTGGCACCCACCCCCTCCACAGTGGGCGGCGACCCAGCGGCTCGGATCGGATTCACACAGCCAGCACTGCAGTGAGAGAGAGTGAGTGAGCCAGGTAGGGGCAGAGAGCTGCGAGTGCGAGCGCGCCCCCCCAGATGTTGCGCCCGGTGCGCCCGCCCCCCCCTGCACCCCCACGCTACGCCACTGTGCCCGTGTCTCTAGGGGACCTTTGGTCACACACGTTGCAATACATGTTAAACTGCTGCAAGCTGCCACCTCACACAGCCATGCCACGTTCAGTGAACACACTACTTGCATGCTGCTGTTGCACACTGTGGGGTACACACCGAGTGATGCCTTGGTGTTGGATTGCCTTGTGGGTCAGAATATCCATTCGGTGTCCACTTCATAACCTGAATATAGCTTTGCATAGTGTATTGCCATGTTTCAGTTTTGCCTCAGGATGGGCTTCGCCAGAGCCACTAACGTTTATTGGCATGAACAGTTAGCGTTTCATAAAAAGGCAGGAAGAAAACATTAGGGTTATTCTGGGTGGGTGGGAAGGCTGGTGATCACGGCTGAAAGGCCCATTGTATCATTTACATGAGGTAAGGAGGATGTAATGAATGCTCCTTTCACTTCGCCATTGGCAGTGTCAAGCTAGTGTTGCACAGAGGCTTCTTAACATGCTACAGATGCCCTGAAAATATGATAAAACCAGAGACAGTATGTGTCACATTAATATATATTGCACATTTTCTCTTTCTATATATGTATGTATATATACACCATGTTCCCGAGGAAGGATGTACAGCACTCCCAACTTCTTGTGTCACCATCATCATCATCATCATCATCATCTATGTATTATTTTAATCACCAGTACATTTGTTAGCATTATTCAAACACTGAACAAGCTTTAAAAGCTTTAAATAAACTCTTAATTGATTATGTTTCCCAAAGCGACATTCTGTGGTTTCTGGGGGGGGAAAGCATTATTCTCAATTCCTCGGTGGGCCTTCAGAAGTGCAGAGCTTTTCAAGAGAGTGAAGGATTACACATTTGTGTTTCAAAAGATGCCATCCCTCTGCCCCCCTCCCTTTTGCCTGCCAAAAAATAAAAATAAAAATAAAAAAAATCCCTGCTGCCAGTTCCATTCCTCATGCTCTTCACTTTGCTCAGCTCCAGTTCCAACTCACTGTGCCAAACGCTCTCCTTTTCTTTCAGGCTTTCTTTTTCTTCGGCTTTTCCCTTTAAAAAAGAAGTAAAAACAAGTGTGTGTTGCCATGGCAATAATGTGAAAATGAGCCATTGGTGTTGATTTGAGTCTGTCCAAACTTTTTTTTTTAAAGGCCTTTAAAGAACAGGAAGGAGAACAGAGAGGGAGATAGGAGAGAGAGAGAGGGAGAGGGAGAGAGAGATGAAAAGTGGGGCAAAATCGCTGGAAATGCATTTGGGCTGACATAATTCCTCTTTCCCACAGTGGTCATTCACTTGGGAGGCTCCAATGTCCATTCACTGTCTTAAAGCTAGCTTTTCAGAGCCTGGGGAGGCCATCTTTCGCTGCCTGAATGCCTTTTTTGTTGCTAAACAGTGAACTGTTTCTGAAGCCCAGCATAAAGGAGGTGAGTAATTCATTGCAGTTGCCAGGAAGTCTGAGCCACTTGTGAGCTAACAATAGTAAACTTTATCTCCCACCCTGAGCCGAAGGTTCCAGCTGAAGATCCAGAATTCTAATAAGGGCCTTTTACTCTCTCATGCCTCCGAGGTTATGGTAATAGTTTAGACATCTTTTTTCATTAGGACGCAGCCATAGCTACAACCACGGCAGTCGAGGCAAGCAACTGCGTGGAATGAAGCTGGGGAGAGGTGGGATTAAAAGGGAAACGCAGAAAAATAACTTTAAACCAATTCATAAACTAAGAACGTATACATTGACCACTAATAATGAAACATATGTTTTCCATATTTGTTATGCTATTTTTGTGATATACAAATGACGTGAGAAAACTTGGTATACTTCTTTGTATAACATTATTCTTGTTTATAAAACCCAATTTTTAAAAATTGCCTGTTTCATATGAAATAGAAAACCTGTGTTGAAAGGAATGCGTTCTAAGCCTCTGAGACAATGGAGATCTACCCCACCCACAGTGTTTGAAAAAAGAGCATCTCATGTGAAGCTTGCCTTCCTTCCCACCTCCCCTGGCTTTGAACAGGAAGGACAACTTGGTGCTAAAGAACACAGAGTGACTCATGAGCAACAGCGATGACTCTGTTTGGGCTTCCCTTTGAAACCGAATTTGGGTGTCAACAGCAGAAGGGCTGAGAAGACTTCTGCACGATGACAGCCGCTCTAAATGTATGTAGGAATGACACACAGGCATGTGATTCATGCATCAGGACACCAAATGCAGAAAACGATGAGTGCTTTGAAAGAAGACACAGAACAGAACACCATTTTTTCCTAGCTTATTAGGAGTTTGCCCAGGAATGAAGAGCGCTAGCTTCATGGCAGGGACAGAGCCACAGGAGCTACTTTGTGGGCTCATGTGTGGCATGCTGAAAACAACCACCTATTTATCCTTTTTGAAATTCGCCAGCCAGCAAGATGTGTGGGTGGGTGTGCGTGTGGGTGTTTCAGTGTGTCTGCTGAAATTTTCTTGCTGGGTCAGAAAGGCAGACCTATTCAGAGAGCTCTTCCATGCCTTTGGCTAGGGCTCCATCCTCCCCATGGTGCCTTGAGAGAAAGCTTCAAAAATGCCTGGATGGATACAAAGCTGGGCAGCTCTGCAACATCCACTTAGCGTGCTATAAACTAAGGGGGAGGGAAGGGGGAAAATGGATTCAAATGTGAATACAAATAAGAAATGAGTTTTGATCTGAAAACTGAGACAAAGACATTTGTGCTCTGTTGGCATTCCTTGTACAAGGCAACAGTGTGCCCTTGAGCTGCGGAGGATTTTTGCTGATGCCTGTGATGTGAATCAGATCACTGTGTGGCCTGTCCATTTTTATGTATGTTCAAGCACTGGAGGGTGTCAGGGAGAAGAGGCACCTGGAAAAGGACCCCCTCTGCCCTCTCTAGTAAGGAACAAGTGAGGTCACACTATCCCTAGATGTCATAAAATGCTGTTTGCTAACTGCTAGAAATTTGGTCAACTTGCCCCCACAGCACTTCCTCCCTCACATAATTTCCCTCATGCTACTCTAGAGGACAAGTCAGCATGGTCTATTAACCTCTCTTTGAGTGGGCTGTCTGTGTGGTTGAACGTCAAAAATCCTGTAGGATGCTTTTATAGGAATGCTGTTCTCCTATCCAACAGTCTCCCCTGGTTTGGGGGTTCCATTAGTGCAAATCTATATAAAAAAGTAAGCCCTACTGAGTTCAATGGGACTTTCTTCAAGAAAACTGCATCTGATTGCAGCTTAGATTTTCTAGTCTTGTTCATGGAGTGCCCCTAAAAATTTACCAATCTGCTATGCTTCCATTTTTAAACCCCCCCCCCCACTATGCAGACATCATTGTGCATAAACATTTTGTCATTGTTTTTGGGGCTTTTCATTCATTGGTCCCTACTCACCATTGCATCAAGATGCCTTTGTGCAAAATATTGCATGTATGTACAGACATTCTTGTGCACATTGGCAACCTAGACGGACAGCTGAGGCAAACTGCACATGCTTGTACCACTTCCAGAAATTTTTAATTTTTTTTTACAGGAGATGGTTCTGTCAGGCAAGCAGAAATACTTGTGCTGATGGAGCCATTGCCTTAGTGCTGTGTTGAATATAACACCATAACTTTACATAAGGCAACAAAACAGGAAGCAGATATTAGGGTCATGATGGGCAGCATAAGGGAAATTCAGATATGCGGTCCCCTGGGGGGGGGGGAATCCATGCTTTGGATCATCAGGAAAGGAACTGGAAACGAAACTAGTGGTATCATAATGCTCATAAATAAAATTAAGGTTGGCGTCACAAAACCCCGTGAATGGATGGATCTGCCTGAAATTTGGCAGGCTTCACCCACTCTGGAGGGCTCCTTTGCCTGCAAATTTCATCCAGTTATGTGAAAAGCAGAAATATTTTTAGATTTCCCATTATAGACAAAAAAAAGAGCTTTGGATTAACATATCAGAGTTGGACCAAACTGAAATGACACAGACAGGATCCAAAAATGTTTGGGCTGCTTTCCAAATGCTACAGATGCAATGCAAATCATGTGGTTGCTGTGCCCCCTCCATAGAATGTACTACAGAAGACAGGCCAAAGTCTGGGGTCTGCGGGAGACTCTTTCCATGATGTAGTATTTGTTTATTAATCGTGAAATGACTCCAAAGCCTTTCTATCTATTTCATGAGAACTAAATGGAAAAATTGATTGGGTCAATATGGTCTATACTGGTATTCAGAAGCATTATGCTTGTAGGATTCCCACAGGCATCTGGTTGGCCACTGTGAGAACAGGATGCTGGTCTAGTTATGCCATTGGCCTGATCCAGGAGACTTTCCTTGCATTCTTAGCCAGCTGGGCATTCAAGGTTTGTACTAGTGCTGCACTTGATCTGGAGTAGGAGGCCTGAAGCTGAATGCAAGGAATTGTTTCCAGCCAATCATTCCCAGTGAAAATAGCGATCATATATGCTGATAGCCAATGCAAAGTAACACCTTCCAAAATCAGGAGGCGATTCTATGATTCTCAATACGCTATAATTGTTGAAAGGTGTTTTTAACATACACAGAAAGCTACCTGTACATATGCATAGTGTGTATCTATATGAAAGTATGGTGATAAATATATATGTATATACAGTGGTACCTCGGTTTTTGAAAATCTCCGTTGACAAACATTTCGGTTTTCGAACGCCGTAAGTCGAACATGCCATGCGGCTTCTCCTGAGTGTAAGATCCTCAGGCCTAGCTGTCGGCTATTGAGTTTTTGGTTTTTGAATGTTTCAGAATTCGAATGGTCTTCCGGAACGGATTACGTTAAAAAACCGAGGTACCATTGTAGTTTTTTTGAGCAAGAACTTGGAGGAACTGCCTTCTCTTCCCTTTAATAAAATTAAATAATCATATTTTTTTGTGTCTGTGGCGGCTGAAATGGATATACACCCAATGCCTGAGCCCAAAATCCCCCTATATCTGCAATCAATAAAGTTGTGACCATTTCTAATCCAGATCATTGTCTGCTTGAGTTTATTAATCACTTCTTACATTTATCCACTGCCCGGGGCAGGGGCAGCACTGTGACTGGGCCTGCAACAAACAAACACACTTCATGGTGAGTTTCCCCACCTTTCCCCCCCAGAAAAAAGCATTATAATATATAGGGCTCTCCCGAAAATCCAAAATGTTGGAATCTTCCAATTAATAATGTAGATCAGTGCAGATTTTCAAACCATCAGTTTAATTATCTGACGTATGCATTTTCAATATAGGTATGCATACCAACGACCAAAAATGCCCATAAGAAGCAGCCCATAATGAAGCTTAATGATGACGAGGGAACATATGCTGTGTTGGGGGTTGAGCTCAGTTTGAGGATGCTGGCCTTTTAAGATCTTTAAAACAGTGGATGATTGATTTGGTCTAAATAAAAAAAAATCCAGAAGTAAATGAGTAATGTTCTACCTCCGGCTACAGCAAAGAAAATTCGGAACTGTACTAAAGTCAATAGCTAGAACCTTCCCTTTCAATTTTGCCTGCTGGCAGGGGGTGATTCAAAGCTCACACCAATTTGAGGCTAGTGTAAATCTTTCTGAGTCACACTTTGCAAGCAGGATGCTGAAAAGAGTGAAATGATTCTTTCAGCTGAATATCCAAGCAAACGTGCTAGCGGGTGAAAGGAATAAAAAAGAGAGATTTGTGATTTCTTAGAAGCACACTGGAAATACTGTCAGAAATCTGAAGACTACAGTGATGAGGGGGAATTGGCTGAGGTGGGCGCAAAACAATTAGAAAGAGAAGACCAAGGAGAGACCTCTCGTCCTATGATTTGGGAATAGGTATGGTTGCAAAGCACAGCAGGCATTGTGTGTGTGTGTGTGTGTGTGTGTGTGTGTGTAAAGAGAGAGTCTATCAATGTAACATAAACAGACATCTTCATCTCAGCATTGGGAGATGTTACTCAGGATCAAGCTATTTGTCCCTTATTTTGCAATACAGTTTTGTGTGAGTCTACTGTCTATCCTGGATATATTCCCTTGCTGTCTGTGGCGGTAGTCTAATTTTAACTCACCCTGTGTGCTTGTGTGTGTGTGTGTCTTTATCCTTTTCGAAGCAGGAAATATTAAATTCTAAATCTGATTGGTCTCACTGTTGCTTACCCCAGGGCAGCTTTTTTAGGCTTATGAAAACTGGCGTCAGTTGACATTGTCATCCCTGTCATCAAGTGAGTGAGAGCAAAATCCTCGCCATTTCCATTCTAACGAGACAATAAGGCAGAGGAACTGATAAATGCTGAGGTAGGGCAGATTTCTGTAGGGAGGTTTTAGAGAATAAAGCTCTTCGCTCCCCACCTCCCCCCGCCGGCTTCATGCTCGGCTGTGTTGCTGCTGATGCTACTGACTCTGTCAGGGTATTTTTGTTTTCATTAACAGATCCCTTCAAAAGAAATGGGTGGGAAATTGTGCAAGCCCTGTGGCCAATGAAGATAATTGAGGAGCTGAGGATTATGTATATCCTCCTGTTTGCCACACTGCTTTCTTTTATTTTCAGTTGTCATTTTGGGGGTAAAGCTGTCATTCGGCTGAGTCCTCCAGAAATGCATGTTTGTGCCAGCCATCTTCTAGATACAATACAGAAACCTTTGCCAGCCTAGGACCCTTCAGCTGTTTTGTATGACCACTCCAATCAGCTCCAGCCAACATGATGAAGTTGTCGTATAAAACACCTGGAGGGCACTAGGTTGGCAAGACTTCTCTTACTGGAAAATGATCATCAAAGTGAACTGAGTAAAAATGGCTTCTTGAAATTCTTCACCTTATTTACAGATGATGGAATCGTGATAGATTTCCCCTGAATCTTCTCATTGGTTTCTTTTTTTGGGGGGGTAGTTTTGGAGTAAAGTCTCAGAATATTATTATTATTATTATTATTATTATTATTATTAATATAACGCCCTATACCCGGGGGTCTCAGGGTGGTTCACAAAATAAAATCAAGATATAAAAAAACCACAAAATACCAAATTAAAATAAAAACAACAACCCAATAGCTCCCACCCCCACTCACAAAAACACATTTTAAAAGGCCATAGGATGTAAATCGGATCAACCAAAGGCCTGGCTAAAAAGGAACATGTTTGTCTGGCACCTAAAGGTGTATAATGAATGCGCCAGGTGAACTTCCCTGGGGAGAGCATTCCATGGATGGGGAGCCACTGCAGAGAAGGCCTGTTCTCGTGTTGCCACCCTCCGAACCTCTTGAGGGCCTCTTCCATTTTATTTTATTTTTTACGTTTAGTTTGTAAATGAACACAAATTAGAACCTAACAATCAGAGGACAGAAAATGTGTGTGGTGTGTACACAGCACCAGCAACTTCTTGTTACACAAATGTTGCTCAGCAGCAAGAACAGGATGGAGGGAACAAGGGGAGAAATGTAAGGAGTAGCGGTCAAAATCTTTACTTCCTTCAACACTACTAAAATATATTGGATTGAATTCACAATTGCACCAGAAATTCTCTACTCTGTTTTCAGGCAGTGGAATAGGGAGCAAAACAGGAGCGTGTCAGCATCATGCAGGTTACATCTAATAATCTCTGGTAGATGATATTCACCAGCAGTATGTTGAACCCCACCCAAGATAATTCTCCGAATATGTTGCTCCCCCCCATTATTTTCCCATGCAATAAAATAAATTGCACACCAATTTTGTGCGTATGTGCATTTTTCTGTGGAAGGTGTCCATGGCTTTCACTGGATGCTCAAAGGGGATCATGACCCCCCAAAACTTTAAGAACCACTGGTTTATGGTATTCTGAATTGGGGGGGGGGGAGGATTAGGCACTGGAGAAACATAAAAGCAAAGAATGAGTTCTTATAGATTTAATCTGTTTTGAAATTAGTTTGCTCTTTACTTTCAAAGGGACTAGCCACTCTTCCCCTACATCTGAGTATTTTAGAGAAACAGCATCAAAAGGTCAGAGTAGCCAGATCATAGGAGGGATCATAGGAAGGATGTGTTAGATATAGGATTTAAACTATCATTTTTTATTTATGTCTTTCATGCCATATACCTTCTGAAGGAGAAGAAATTGTGATAAGACCAAAAAGAAAGAAAGAAAGAAAGAAACACAACCCTCACAAGAAGAGGCAGGAGAAAGATGGCTGTGAGAGAGCCAGCTCTCTTTACTAAAAATTAGCATATTTAAGTGTGCACAGCACACCATATATACACTCCACTTTGGTTCTGTAAACAAAACCCTATATAACCTAGCCCATGCTGGAATTAGTGGTTGTAACTTCATTCTACAATCTTGTCATGTTAGGCCCCATGAGTAGTATACATTTAAAGTATTATCATGCCACTTTAAACAGTCATGTCTTTCCTCCAAAGAACCTCGGAGACTGTAGTTAAGGGTGCTGGGAGCTGATAGAAGACCTCTGTTCTTTTCACACAGCTACAATTCCCAGAGTGTTTTAACAGTCAGTCCCTCTTCCTAAGGAACTCTGAAACTATCATCTATGAGGGAAACAGGTGTTTCCTAACAACACTTTTAAAACTACAATTCCCAGGATTTTTTGGGGGGAAGTCCTGTTAAAAGTAATCTGATACTGCTGTAAATGTATAGTGCAGATTGTGCTCTCTCTGTGTGTATGTGTGTACATACGTATGTTTGAGGGGAAATGGCCAATTATTAACCACCACTTTCAGTTTTTTAGACTTAACATTTTTAGGTTGTTTGCCCTGCACTATTTCCGATCCCAGGGTTGGGTAACCTGGTATCCTTCTGGATATTGTTGGATGCTTAACTCTCTCGCTAGCTCCTGCCAAGGCTGGTCAGTGTTGGGGGTTGTGGTCAATATGTGGAGGGCATCAGGTTGGGGAAGACTGGCAGAAGCCCCGTTCCATGGCCAATAAGCATGGGACACCTTTGCCTGGCGGCGCTGTGGCCCATAGATTGCAGCAAAAAACTGGGCAAGGGTTTGCCCAGTATCTTCTCTGTGTGATGGGCTCCTGGGAAAAAGCTATCCCATGAGCCCTTGCTGCAGAGGGGAAGGGAAGCCCATATAAGGCTGCTTCCTCTGGAGTTCACAGCCATTTTGCTTTGAGAGCTTCCTGCCCCCACACCCTTGTGTTAAGAGCCTTCACAGAGCAATTTTTGGGTGCTGGTGGACAGGGCTGAAATGAACCCGCCCCCTCAACCTGATTGGCACTTGGTTGGGTTTTTTGTTGCCTTTCCCTCAGTGAAATTATGACTTTCATTTTTTTTGGCAGAAGAACATTGTATGAGGGCGGAAATGGCATTGGTCAGGATCAACATAGTATAGGTGCCCCCCACAAGGGGCCTGAGGGGAGGATGGGCCACAGCAAACCCAAGCGTGAGTTGGTATTTGCCTACTTGGAATCCGCACCCTGGTCCCCCAATGAGAACTTGCTTTCTTGGCTTGCACCATGGCCAGGTTCAACAATGGCCGACTCCCGTCTTACGGGTTTGGAGTGATCCAAACCCAGCAGATCCATTCCATCAACATGGGGCCTGTGGAATGATGAACTGATCATAGGACCCAATGCCATGCCAACCCTTGCTCTGCCTAATGCTGTCAATAAAGATTTGGCCTGATTTTATCCCATCACCATTGTACAGTGTGGTTATTTTGCTGCTCTCATGGGTCACATAATGCGTCTGCCTGGGCAAATAATCAAGCCATAGGGGTGATGCATTCATTTTGCTTCATGAAGAATTAAGAGTGCTTCATTTCTCTAGCAAGTGGAATTTTGACCCCTTGGCATCTTTAGCAGCTTCTCCTTACCTAGGGCCTTTGCAATGGACTTAAAAACAACTGTTCACATTTCTGTCAAGAGACCAGAGGTTCATTGACAAGCTTATCAATTAACAAGCAAAATGACACCAGTGGGACGCAATTAATACGCCCTTCCTCTGCATTTCCTAGCACTGAATATTCCTGTGGTTCTGTCTTAGCTGTTGACATTCATATCCTTACTTGTTT